TCATCAACATAATGTTGGGATCATATGGAACTCCTATAAGTTGATTCATTGGTGGAATTACTTGAGTTCTAATGTTTGGTCCTTGGTTTGTGGTAAAAGCACCGTTGTTCTGTCTGTTGGCTTGGACATTATCTCTTGTATTTGGATTACCCCTCAGGTTTGACATTCCATTACCAATATTCAAATTTGCTATTCCACTACCCCCTGGTTTGAAGTAGATGGGCCAAAAGGTGGTTCTACCCCTTGATTTGCACCCAGGATTGGAGAATTATGTCCCATAATCGTCCTGGCTTGAAAGTTGTTCCCTATAGTTGGCATAACTAGTTGACAAATTTGGCATACTAACTTCTTCATGATTTCATTCAAAGTGTTCAGTTGTTTGGCCATGTTGTCATAGTTTCATTTTGAGCAAATCTTTCCATGTTATGAACGTTCTGTAAATTTACCTGTTCAACAACATCGTACGTGAGTTTCTCAAGCAATGCACGCATGGTTCGAGGACTCAACTCCGTCATTGGGTCGTAATGACTTTAACTTTGTCCCTCTGTACGTGAAGCACTTTGCTGCTCTTCATATCGTTCGATTACAGACTGGACTATTCGTTGGCTTTCTGGCTCCTTTTCAGAGTTTTTATGAGGCATATTGCTTTCATTTTGTGTATCTTCAAACACCAATGGTCCCACTAGGCGTGCCAAATTGTTTAGGAGGATTGGTTCAGACAATTGTGTAAGGAACAACAACCTCTCGAGATAAATTCTCCACGAGGGGTGTTTTATTGATGAAGATTACAATATGGACGAAGCGAAATGCCTCTAAGGGGCGCAAGCACACGAATTTTAGAAGGAAGTAATTGAAAGTTTACTAGAATAAAATAAATGAAATTACATAATTCTCTATTTGAGAGTCGATTGATCTTTTTTCTCTTATAAATTCTTCTTTCTCTTTTATACTCGTTTGATAGTTTCTCTTGAAAAATCGTTTGAAAACTCCTGGAAACTGTCCATCGTCCTGTAAACTACCCACTTTTTCCATCATGGATGACTTGTCAAGAAACTACAATTTTCAACCGCCACCATTACTTCCATTATTTAACTCCTTGCAACTGAGATTTTTGTATCATGGAATGTGATTAGATTACCCATTAACTACTTCAATAACCGTTGCTTCAAATAGTAACCAAAACACTATATTCGCCCAGATCTTGGGCATCACACAGGTTTCAACGATAACAGACTCGCCTAAATATTGGGCTTCTGGGCGTCTCATAGGCTTGAGCGATGATGAGCCTCCATTACATAACTCTGTCTTGGGTTCATCCTTCTAATTTCCTAACTGGGCTTTGTTCTTTGGACCATTTAATTGGGTCTCTTTTTTTTTTTTTTGTATGTCAACAGGAGGACTCATAGGTTCTTTGAAAAAACTTGACTGGAAGCTTTGATAATCAAGGAACTGTAGTCCCTCGTAAAGCCCGCTATAAATGGATACAATTTCGCTTGTAGGATTTTAGAATTGTTAGCGATTACAATAAGTTGCTCAAAATATGTTCAAAACTAACTCTATAATGAGTAAAAATCATTGATACTACAAACAACTTTCTTCACTTTCCATGCATTGAATGTTCTCTTATAGCAGCAATATGGCGAGTGGGATTTAAAAAAAAAAATACTCAAAAATTATATCTTGCATGCTCGTTATTGAACAAATATTGAATTGTTGATGAAAAATTATAAGTTACGTCTTACTAATTTCGCAATATTGTCCGAAGCAAATAATACTGCATTGTTGAAACAACATCAAGACACAAACTCGAATGCTAGCATGGACTTGGATGTTGAAGTGAAAGAGATTATTGACGAAATAATCCACAAAACTATAAGCAAAATGGAAAATAGACACAACTTATCCAAAAAGGAGTATAAAGAAATTTGTTTATGATGTTGAATGAAATTATATTGGCCACGTATCAATAGTAGGGCAAAACATTTTGTGAATCTCTAACAAAAAGCAATCAAGGAAAGATGAAAAGTGGAAACAAATTTTACTAATTTTGATGGTCCAGTTGATGTGACTCAATTGGACATCTCTAATTTTATTTTATTTATTTTTTATTGATCAATATTAATTATTTTATCGAGAGAAATTTGCTAGGTAATATCAATTATTTTATTTTCAGTTTCTTAATATTTCCCTTAAATTCAAGTTTGAAGTATGTTTTTATTTTCATTAAAGTTTGAGATTTAATTTGCATTGTTAAACTATTTCATTATTCATTGAAGTACTACTTTGTTTTAACTTATTTTGATTATAAAACTTAATTATTAAAATATCTATATGGTAATGTTTATAGATTCAAAATCAATTGTCAAGATATTATTTATTTGATATTGCAAATATGTATCCCATTATTCCAAAATTATTTTTTTGAATTTAACATTAACAACAAATAATGTTAATACGATATTAAGTGCATTGAACATCGTTGAAGGTTTTGAAAGAGCTATTATTATCTTATCAGATATTATAAAATTATATACTAACGATACACTCTATTTCACTAAATTAAGTCCCTGTTTGGACTCCATTTTATCAAAAATGCATTTTTCTCTCTTCTCTTTAATCACATGTTCTCTAATAAAATAATATTATACGTTGGGTCGAAACTTTTTCTTCTTTTTTAACCACACATTCTTAAAAAAAATCACTATTCCAACATATGTTTTTCCAAAAAACACATTTTAATGAAGCTCAAACAAGGGCTAAGTTTTTAAAGATATTTACTACAATAGAATAGATATCATATCGAAACGACACGACACGTGAAAATAACATTGAGCCCCTCTGGTATAAATTCTTTTAAAATTCATTTTTTTTTTCAAAATCATTTTCAATCATAAATTCCTTAAATCAAATAAAATAATTTTACACTTGGACCTATAATTTTTCTTACTTTTTAATAACACGTTCTCCAAAAAGAAAATTTTCGACAAAATCAATTGCATGCTATTATTTTCATTACAGTTTAAGACTTTAATTTACATTCTTAAACTATTATTCATAGAAGTGTTACTTTATGTTTAACTCATTTAGGTTATAAAACCTAGTTTTTAAAGATATGGTTATATTCATAGATTCGGAATGAATTATCAAGATATCTAGTTAGTTGATATTACAACTATTCATAATATTCTTCAAGATAAGAAAATATTTTTTGAACACATTAGCTGAAGACGATATTAATACTATATCAAGTACATCGATATCGTTTATTAATATCGCTAAATGATCCGAAAGAGAGTGTCATCTTATTAAATAATATATAATTATATATTGATCCAACAAATCCAAAAGAACTTGGTTTAGTTGTTAAAGATATCTACTACAATGGATATCAAATTGAGACGGCGCAAGAAAATAATATTAGGAAAATGCTAAGTGTACATAATAAATGTACACAATGATTGACACAATGTGATGTGGCATCCATCCTGTCGTTGATGTGTAGATGTCAGATTTGAATTAAAGATTTGAATGAATGCCACGTGTAATTATGTAGACCATATAGGAAGTTATGTACTTGTAGCATCACTCATGATATTAAGCCTCTTTGGTAAAATTTATTTTGAAACCTATTTTTTCTTGAACTTATTTTCAATTATATAATCTCACAATAAAATAATTTTACACGTAAATTCATAAAATTTTCGTACTTTTTAATTACATGTTCTCAAAAAAAAAAAAAAAAAAAAAAA